TGGTCAGGACTACTGGACGGTTTATCAGATATTTGAACATTGTTGTATTTAAACCAATACCACAGCTCGTAAACCTGAAAGCTTCCATAATTTCACAGAAAGTGAGCTGGTGCTAAAAAGTGAAGTTATACTCCTAAAGCGTTTCTTCCATCAGTTGACAAGGAAACATTGAGAAAATCTAATCGCTTAGATCATGCGCATTTCTTCAATCTCCATTTTTGAATATTTACTGTCCTCCAAAGACATCCAGGCTTATTTTCATGACTCACGATTTCTAAATGAAGAACTAAAGAAGATAGTTAATAGACACTAACAAGGGCATGTGTGGCGCGGTGGTCGTAGGCGCCCCGCAACACACACGTGGAATCGATCCTCGCGCTCATGGCCCACCAAGCCTTCCATCCCTCCGAGGCTGGCAAATTAGTACCAGACTTATCCGGGAGAATAGCAGCACTGTCTCGATACATCGGTAGGCTCCCGCGTGTAAAGGCCAGATATGCGTTTGATCACCTCCAAACTATGCTTAATGAAGTGGAATACATGGCGCATCCCTTCAGGGATTAATCAACGCCGAGAGCTTTATCCTTTTTATTTACTAATTTGTTACAAACTCTTATTATTTCCAGTGCCGTTCGTTTAGGTCCGTTCAAGAAGACTTTTCTTCGTTGCTATCAGTTAATGAGAACAACCGACACAATACTTCTTCTCCATAATGTTTGTTTATTTTCGAAGTAACGTATCCGCTGCGATTTCGTTGAAATGATTGGGGTATAAAAGAGTAGATATGGGTTGACACCCACAAATTACATGGAACAGGCTAGCTCACAAAGTCGAGTGCAAGAGCCACTCTACGTCATTGTGCAGAACTATATTCGCACAAAACCACGGAAAGTATTGGTAGCATGGGCGATTGGTATCGTGGCTGCGATTGTTGGTACTCACTACGTCGTGAAGAAATACAGGGCACAAGTTCATGTAAGTCTTTTGTTTTATTTTTGGAATACGTACTTAGGCCTGAGATTTTGTGATAATCCATGGAAGGGCGCGTATAGCGCAGTGGTTAAAGATGATTGCGATACGTGTGGACGTTGGTTCGATCACACGCCCCGGGTCACTAAGCCTTCCATCCCTCTGGGCTCGGCAAATTGGTCCTCTCCAAGATGAATTGAGAAGTCGTGGCAGAAATACTGAACATAAATTTTTTTATTTTTTTTCACTTCACCCGTCATCACATCTGCTGTGCGGATTCCAGCACTTCCTGCGTTTGATTCGTTTTCTCCTCTTTCATCGTTCACAAAGCTCTTTGAACACTGCGTGTTGTTTCGGGCGCCGCTTGAGGATTTGGTTTTATTTGTGAATATCATATAATGTTGGTCGAGTCATTTCTCCTTGCAATCTCGCAGATACCTACGCAGTACTATGTTCCCACGTTGATTAAAGAACATCTTTTGGAAAGGGTCTTACTAGCGCCTTTGCGTCCTGCTCGACGGCATCAATAACCGCTGTAGTACCTCCCGCCAATCCTGAATATTGTCATCGAAAAACTGTTTAGCTAAGATTTTCGGCTCCAGAAATTGTTTGGAAAAGTAAAATAGTTCGAGTGGTAAGTACCGCTTGACCGCACTGATGCACCAATCCTGAATCGTAATCCGTCGTTTTTATTCGAACCACCTTCTAGTAGCATTCTGGCTAACGAATGATGAACGCTTACCAGAAATAACACTATCAAATTCTTTAAGTGTTATCAGGATAACTATCGCATCTGTCACATCACTTAAATTGCCACATCATAGAACTTTGTGCTGATGATTGAGACGGGCTTACTACTACTTACTACTAGTACGTGCCGTACGGACACAATGTGTACACAAAAGATGAAAAGAATGGAACATTCGGCATTGATCTTTAGTGAGACCCCATTCATTCGACTTCATCGGCCGTGGTAGAGGTGACTGAATGCATATCTGGCCTTGACAATGACGTGCAGCAACCAACCAATCAACCAGCGTTCTTATCTTCCAGACAAACTTGGTACTTTATCAATTTCGTAGAGACCGCTAGCTCGGTTAACCTTAGGTATGGCGTTAAATAGGCGATAGATCGGCATGAGAAATGAGTATTTCCGAAGTGATAACGAATTTGCATTACCATTTCATGAATTTCGCAGCACTTTCTCTATGTGAGAAAATCTTAGCCAAAAATCTTAGCAGCTTGGCGAAGTAGGCATCAGTCCGATATTAAGTGGAACTTCGAAAGCGACAACGTTAATTGCGTTAAAACAATGTTTACCGGTGTTGAGTTCAATTTCACAGCTGCACTATCCGGCAGTTCATCATGCTCAACGTCGAAATGGCTTTTGGAACTGTGGGTGGTCATGGGTGCTTTGCTCTTGGCCATCAGGCCCACCTCAGGCGTTTACATCATGTTCTTTCTATTCATTTCTATAATTTACAACGTAGCTTGATGCTGCGGTGTTAACGAAAGACTGTCAAGAACGACGTTTTACCGCATCACCGTGATCGTCAGCATTGCGTAAAGTCACTGATTGTTCAAAGGAATAGATATTCATGGAAAACCTCGTGTTTATGAGAACTATTACAACAACGGAGGGGCAAGTAACACAGTGGTAGTGATGTCGGTTATCACGAGGATGGTGCTAGTTCCATTCAGCTCTGGGCGAACCAAGCCTCTCATCCCTCCGGAGTCGGGAAATTGGTACCGGACATGTCTGGGAAGAAATCGCTCTCTGCAATCCAGTTGGGGAGGCTCCAGTCCGGCTACCTCAGGACTCTATGGAGAATCGACTCAGCGAGAACTCTACTACATTCAAGATGAAATGAAAGTCCTCAAGCAGTAGCCGAAGCCGCACGTGTAAAAGTTGGAAGATCTTCGTGGATAATTGAGACGAAGAAACGAATCGAATGCGAGAAGTGCTGGGATCGGCACCGTAGACGTGAAGACGGGCCATATAAAAGAAAAAGACTGCAATAACTAAAACTTTAGTGTCAGATGTCCTCAAAAATAACTCTTCTGCAGTATCTTAGTTTTAACAGATTCTACGTTGACAGATTACGTTACACCTTAATCAACGGTTCCATGTCAAAGGCTTTTTTGAAATGAGGCCTTTCATTTCTACTGTACTGGTGCGTGGTTTTCATGTGTAGCAAACTAGGACGTGGGAATTGAGTACAGTACATTGAGGTGCATACTAATGCATTTTCAGAGCATTTAAGGATCATTATTGTTGGCGATCAGCTAGAAATTCCTTTCGGGTACCTTCCAATAAAATTATTGCAGGCTTTTGGTAGTGTGACTACATGCACATTCTCTGCATGAGTCCCTTGAGTGCAGTTGTATCTCGGGGTTGATACATCACAGGTTTTAAACTGCGTTTAATCTCTAAGTCACTTTGCGTCCCGTTCTACATTCGTTCTGTTTTCATTGCCATTAATAGCGGTGCTGGAATTGGTGTGCAGATACAGCTGCGGGCTCAGGATCTGTTCCTCCGTCTTCTGATTGACATGATGAATATAGAGTGTGGTCTTCTGTGGAATCGTGAAATAGCTGTGCAGTGCAACGGCATTCCTCACAAATTTTTCTTCACATCAGACAGTCGCCCGTCTTTGTGGATTGGGCGGAGACGCACTGCCTTGCGATCGTTATTCTTCCATGCTTTCTCAGGGAGAGATACCTGTCACTTAGCGACGTTTAGAGTAGGCATTAATAATCATAAATAAAGCCTTCAGCGTTGAACAATGGCCGAAGAATGCACGATGCATCCTACTTCATCAAGCATCATTGGACCTGGTTAGTGAAGTCAGCGCTGTTCTCTTCCCAGAGGACACTGATACTAAATTGCAAACCACGGAGGGATGGAAACCTTGATGAGCCCGGTGTGCCGTTCCGAACCGAACACCGCGTACGTGTCGCACAGCATTGTCTTTTATTCTACATTGGACCAAGCCACATTAGGAGACGCAATACCACTGTTAACTATAATGGATGCCTTTTCCTATTTTCTTTTATACAACCTAACATCACATATTACGCGAAGCCCAGCAGTTCTTGCGTTCAACTGTTTCCTCACATCCATCATTAACGTAGATCTTAGAATTAGCACGTTTGGTTTCACCAGTTGCTCGAAGATTTTTGGTCTTCCTTATGAACGTCGTTGAGTGAGCACTCTAGTGAGTGAGTCAGTGAGTCAGTTCTGACTCGAATCCAGGGATGGACGTGATAAAGCGTTCCAAAGTATTCATCTTAGGCACTAACCAGCTTTTTTTAATTGCAAACACCACTCTATTTCGGTTCCAATTTCTTGATACAACGGGAATGGGAACCTTGGACGACCTGGGACAAGGTTGAAGTAGGACCATGAGCAACCCTAAATACAGCCATGAAGCCAAAAGAAAAGCTCAGGCTATCCAAGCACTACATAAGTGTGTGTGTGTGTGTGTGTGTGTGTGTGGACCTGTATATGTAGTGCTCCTTTTTAAATGTTCTTCTTCTAAAATTCATTTCTTAAAGTTTTGAGCTTTCTATCTCTTTGCTGACGGGATTTCGCTGACATTANCACTACATATGTGTGTGTGTGTGTGTGTGTGTGTGTGTGTGTGTGTGTGTGTGTGTGTGTGTGGACCTGTATATGTAGTGCTCCTTTTTAAATGTTCTTCTTCTAAAATTCATTTCTTAAAGTTTTGAGCTTTCTATCTCTTTGCTGACGGGATTTCGCTGACATTATTTAGAAACCGCAATTGAAGAGACGTGACGATAGTACTGGTACTCGTGAGTTTTTCAGCCAATAACAGCTTGAAAAATATTTCCACTTTAAAGAGATATTCCTACTATTTTTTTAGCAAGCCCTTCATTTAGCGACACATCGAAGAGTACGACCAGTAGACCATCCGGTTCGAGTGACTCGCTTTTCAAGGTGAACTTGATGGATCAGTTCAAGGTTCTTGTCCACGTATTTGTCCTAAATAGTGTTTCAGTCGCCCGGAATGAAAACCCCCGTACAGAGAACACTTAAAGAAGAAACCTCTTTGGCATCATCCACTCCACTGAAATCGGAACGAAAAGTTGCTTCAAAGTCACCAGCAAAGGTGTCCCCAGCAGTGCTCACTTCAAAACCAGAGAAGAAGAGCACCGTGCGAGTAGATAAAGCTCCAATAATGAAACCAGTAAAACCGACCGATAACAAGAAGACTAGCAGCACAGTGACACCCAAAGCGGACAAGAAGAACACTGTGAAGAAGACAAAGGATGTCGGACTGCAAAGGGGGAAGCCTCCAACCTGAATGCCGTTCTCTGCTACATTGCAATACTACTGAAGCAATCGTAGAGCTGAACAACGTTCTCGTTTTGTATTTTAGCATGCATATCCTTTACAATAAAGTGCCGTTGGGTGTGATAAAATTTCGTCTATCAATGGTCGATTTAGTTCAGTTAATTCCTAGGTAATCTTAGCTAAATTACATGACCCGTCGTCGTGTCTACTGTGCGTTCCCCAGCGCTTCTTGCATTCGGTTCGTTTTGTTCTCTTCATCGCCCACAATGGTCTTCGAACATTTCGCGTCTTGTTACAGCCGCTGCTTGAGGATTTCGTTTTTTTTTTTTATGAATGTCGTAGGAGGCCGAGGTTATTTTTCTTGTCATCAAGGAGATAGCCGGGCTAAAGCTTTCCCACGTGGATTGAAAGACGGCGTTGGGGAGGAGACCGAGCTAGCGCCATTGTTTTTCATTGGCCACATCAGTGAACACTTCGTTGCCCAACTCCCCACTCTTAAATATAATAAGCATAAAGGTGTTAAAGAAGAAAGTTCTGATACACAACTTTCCTGTGCTTCAGACATGGGCAATAAAACATGCATACGAAATCGGAGTGTTAAGAGAAGTAGATGCTTTAAATTCTATAAAATGGTAGGCACGAAGTTTTATCTCATAAGCATCATTCTAGAACGTGGTCCGTTTCGTGTGTGAATACTGTGATGGACTAAGAATCTCTTTTCTCCTGCTAATTGACACGTTGAATGCTGCTTGACAGTGCCGTTCCCTGAAGTCATGACATAGCTGTGCTGAAGGGCTTCCGGATTGGGCGATAGGTGCCGATATCGTGTAGGTCACCCTTCTTGAACAATAACACGGTTTTGCTGGTTTTCCACTGAATAGGGACCTTGCATTCAGACAGGTAACGTGTGAAGAGCCGAGCCAGTGTGTTTGCGAGGACTGGCAGAAGGCAGAAGGCAGAAGGTTCTTCAGGTGTTCAGTTCTTATCGTGCCCGGACATGGTGCTGTTTGATATTTCATCGACGAAATGGCATGTCGGATTTCCGAAGGGAGAACCGGTGGTACAACATATCCATCCTTCTTTATTTCATGTGACGGAAGGTGAACGTGGCTATCGAAGAGATCCGAGTAGTATTCGTGAATTATTTTCTTCATTGCCTTTCTGGACGTTGAAACCGTTCCATTAGTGCTAACGTGAAGATGCTGAATGAGCCGATCATATTCTCCGTCTATGTTATCGACTATCAAGGGCTTCCAGAGTGCTTCCATCTCAACTGAATCAAAGGCCTTCTGTAAATCAATGAAAGTGAGACAGAGCGGTCTTTTTACTCTCGCGATACTTCAATGAGCCTCTGCGTCATAACCCAAAATCCAAAATTGTGCTGGTTTCCCGCAGGGTGGATATATTACTGCCACACAGGCAACAGGTGGCTGCTGCTTCGTAACCGTCGGAGATGGACAGTTTTCATGTCAGGTTCCGCAATTTCGTCTTCTACTTTTCTACTGTCCACGTACCTTTATCTATTGGGTATGTTTTGATATGTGGTTCTCTCATATGCGAAGGATTAGATGAGAGTTAGTGCGCGGGCATATTTTCACTAGTTGCTTCTCGATACCCCTGAACGTTCAGGAATGAAAGCCACCTTTATGGGTTATCTGCGCTTGAGTTTTGTATAACCTGACTGTTCAATCAGAAACGCAAAACATTTGTTCATTTCCTCTTCTTCGTAACAAATGATTAAGCATTCATCTATGTAGCAAGAATTAGAGCGCCAACCTTAGACGTTAAGGCGATGGCTAGGCTTGGTACAAATTGCTGCTCCAAAGGCCACCCTCTGATTTGCGTGAATTATCTCCCGTACCAACTCAAATCTGAACAGCTAATGCATCCTTCTAGGAAAGCAATGTCTTCATGTTTTATGATTAACTTGAGAACGGCTTTTATTGCTTCGTTATTCGAGACCTTGGTGTAAAGTGCAGTAAAGTCGCACGACTCCATTATATTTCACGGTGTAGATGATATGGAAACACCTTCGAACTAGAGACATGTGCCGGTATGAACTTAAACAACCGGATGAGGAAAAGGTAGAAGAACAGTATTATCTCATCCGTCAGTCCGCCTACACTGTATACGATTGGTCTAACGTTGAATGTTGAAAGGACGGGTGCCGAACGATCAATAGTAGGGATGTGCGCATCTCTCTTAATACTTAAGTGCAAAAAAAGGAGAAGTGATTCCATCATTTCAAAGTGGCCACTTTCTGTCTTGACCTTCACATCCATTTTCAAAAGATGATCGATATAAGAGTAACATTTAGGAGCTTCTGGTCCTCGTAATGACAAACCGTTTGGGAAAATCAATGAACGTGCACAGCGTGAGCAACTAATCAATAGTTTCCGCGACGCCATGAATACATCTGTTCTACGATTGCACCCCGTAGTAAAACATTTAGGCTACTTTTTCTTCTACAAATTTTTCTTCGACATATTAGAAAGGAGCCTACAGAATAAAGGCAGATGGATTACAATAAAGAGACTGTGTAGAGAAATAATCGCAAACAAGGGTAGTTTAAGTACACATACTTGACACTTGAATGGCCCGTCCTCACTGCTTGTGCGGGTCCTAGCTTAATCTCCATTTTCTGGAGATTTGCTGGTGGAGCCATTGCGGTTCCCTCCAATCCTGAGGTCAATCTGGCCGAAGCCTGCCCCAGGCCTTCATCACCACAGCTGGCCGCAGACCTTGTGGATCAGAGGGAGATTGGCCATCATGCGACCTTGATACCAGAACGGTGGTGAATCCTGGTATTAGTTTACGCTTAGCTTGGCTTCTTGATGGGAACGACGGACTCGTTCTCAGCTTGGGAGACCCTGCCAGTGGGATGAATCCTCTCTCTGTACATCGCAGCCCGACACCCAGGAACACCTCCCTTCTACAATGAGACGGTAAACCGTTGGGAGGTTAAGTACATATGTAAGTCATATTTTCAAAATAATGCAAGACTACATTCCATACGCTGTGAAATAAATGTAGTACAGTGGATCTGGGAATACTACACTCTGAGCGCGGTGCAAAACAAATTAAAGGATAGAAAGGGCAACGCTCTTGACATCGATATATCAATGAGGGATGCGCCATGCACAAGAAGACTTCATTAAGCATCGTCAGAGGTGATTGAATGCATATCTGGTCTTTACAACGACCCGCAGTGGCTTATCAATGTTGCTATCCTCCCAAACAAGTCTAGTATCAAATTGCCAACCCCGAAGGAATGGAGGGCTTGGTGACCCTTGGGTGCGGCGATCGACCCCATGTGTATTACAAGGCGCCTCCAACCACTGCGCAATTAGCACCCTTAAAAGAAAAACAAAGCAAATTAACGTAACAAAAATCACAACGACAACGAACCCTCAAACATTTAACATCAACCGAGTTAAGATTTTGCCCACTTGGCCTTGTCAAGATGGAGCAGCAGCTTCCGAAAGTACTAAATTGTTTTGGTGCTACCGTACTCGGCAGCACTTGTGATCTACCATCGATGCAGGTCACACCACGGTCGAGAATGCCCCGACCACTCACGAGGCGTGGCAGTCGTCGATTGCGGTTGCTATCGATCCGCTGCGATTTACTTCTGCTGTTTTTATTCATCCTGGTCGGGGTTCATGAACTCGACCAAGTAGAAGTTGGTTAGTAGTTTCAAGTCATCGCATATGGCAGTAGTGTGTGGGCACTGCCCAAAATATCGGGCCACTTTCGTTTCTACAAAGACTTCTGTTCTTTCAGATCATGGCTCTTTTATGCAACCAGTCTGTTCAGTGATGGACCAGCTGGGAAGTAGCATGTCGAAGCTATCGGTAAGTGGGCAGTTCTTAACTCGTGTAGTAGAATATTAACGGCCAAGCGCAGGGCTTTGTGCAGAACGTGTAGCCCTTGTCACCTCTCAATTACAGGCGGTGCACAATAATCAGATCTGACTTACGACAGTAGTCAATCGTCGAGTTTAAGTTTAACTGCCGCTGCCCGGCACGATAGCTCTTTTTATTGATTACTTACGAAAATATAGATGATTCCAGGCACCTCTCATAGGATTTTTCTTCTTCTCCAAAAACACCGTTATTTTCTGATTTAACTGCAGGGATTTCGCTCATTTTGATTCCACTTTGTTCACTTTAGGTTGATTAAACTGCGACGTAGAGCGTGTATGTTGCCCTGGGCACTGGACGCACACAAGGATGGCGTTGAGCGTACAGCTAGACGGCGTAGGGCGTAGACGCAGGTAGTGTTGAGCGTAGACGTAGACGACAGTTAATAGTAGACGGCGCTCAGCGTAGATGTAAACGGTGTTAAGCGTTGCATGACTGAGTTCATTGAACCAATCAGTGCACTAGATGTCGAAAAACGAGATTCGTTATAATGATCTGTAGTGATGTAGTAAGCAAAGCCCCATATCGTGCGCGTATATTCCTCTCGCGTTGAGATTGTTCCTGGTGAAGTGGGTACTAAGATATCTTACTCGAATTCTTGGCAGGGAGGAAGGTGCTAAGGTATTCTGGCGTAGGTGCAGAGTGGGTATGCTTCGATATACTTAACACAGTGATTGTTTGAGAGCCTTGTGTGCAGCTAACTGCTGTGGTGCTCGGATATGGGTAAGAGTCGAAAATATAAGGGAAGGTTCCACAGCTAATAAAACTACACTTGGATAATGTTCTACTTTTTATTTCCTGCCTACTACGTTTCAGGGCAGGTTATTATGAGAAATACAATCACAAGGATCGTAAGATATCTCTTTATGTCTTCTCTTTACAGCGTAACTTTTTATAATAGTATTCAAATAATTAGAAAATACATCGAACCAATCGAAAGCTGCTGTCGATCTCACGGGATGGAGGTTTCCACAATCTCCAAAGTTTTCTATCTCAAACGTCAAACTTTTGGTGGTCTAAAGGTAGGCTCGCCAATGATTGTAGTCGTATCTCACTTGGATACTTCGACGGCCTGTCCTCACTGGTT